AAAAAAAAAAAAAAAAAAAAAAAACCCAAAAAACAAAAAACAAAAACCCAAGCAAAACATTTATGAAAAACAAAGAAAAGAAAAGCACTTTGGGTCTTTGTCTTTAAACAGTGCCCAGAGTCTTCTGCTTCTGAACCAGGAGCTGGTTGAGGCCTCTGTGCCTGGCTACAAAGCAAACTGAAAATATTTCTTTTATGTCAAGACTGAGCTGCCACTTGTGTTCCCAAGAACATTCCTGAAGAGAAAACAGAAGATGGAGACTATGAAAATGAAGCACAAACACAGCGAGAGCAGAGAGCTGGGCTGCTGCAGGAAGCCTGCTCTCCAAGTCCCACACGGTGCCGCACACGCTGCAGGCAGCATTGGCCACACTCCCTCCACCCCATACCTGCATCGAGGGGGCCGGGTGCGGGGAGCCTCCACCACTCACCGATGTCCTCGCTGGCAAACCTCACCAGCCTCCTGGCCACATAGAGAGGGTCCTCTCCTCCCTCGAGCATGCGCGCCAGCCAGTAGAGGGAGGCATTCTGGTCGGAGCCGCGCATGGCCTTGTGCAGGGCAGAGATGCAGTTGTAGTGCTCCTCCCCTGCACACAGAGAGAGCACCACTTGCTGGGCCGCCCAGCCAGGCCTTCCCACACCAAGAGGCCCAGAGAGCCGAGGTCGGCTTTGAACTGCACCTGCTGGGAGGTGCAGCCTGTGAACATGCCTCAGCAGCGTACACAGTACAACCAGAAAATACAGTGGCTCATGTTTCCAATTTTAAAAACTAGATACAGTGAGACACATAGCCATGATCCCCCTCAAAATCCTTTCTCAACTTCGAACACACTGGTGCATCATTCTTGCCACTTTCTGAAGCAGTTTCAAAGTCTTTTTTCCTGGGTGTCTTCACAAAGTGATCAAAAATATAGTAAATGCTACCGCTGAATGCCATCCAATAAAAAGGCAGGCATGTAAAAACATATCGGCCTGTTCTCATCATCTTATTCACCAGATCTAATACCGTAAAACTTCTGGCTCTTCTTCAAAGTTAGTGATGGTGAAAGGTAAGTGTTTTGAGTGGATTTGGGACAGTGAGGCAGCTGTGAACGTGCAACTAAAGAGGACTCCAGAGCTGCTGCAGAAAGTGGCAAGAATGATGGGCTCAGTGTGTTTAAGAGAGGGAAAGGATTTGGGCAGGATCAATGACAACGTGTTCTTCAATGTAGTAAAATTTTAACATTTCAACATTCACTGTGTTTTCTGGTTACTGCCATGGGGCATCCACCTTGAGTATGTACACAGAGGGGAGGGACAGGGAGGGCGCCTGCACCCTGAAAAGCAGACTGTCCTCTGCCACAGGGCAGGGCATGTGCCAGGGACAGTGGAGGGCGGCCCCACACTCCACTTCTTCCTTGCCTTTGTGGTGTGCTGGAGGAAACAGCAGGGGCCTGGTGGGAATCACCAGGATGGAGGGTCGGGTGGCACGGGCAGCTTTTACAGCCTATTTGTTCCTGAGTATTTCCAGCTGCCTCCCTGACAGCTCAAGCCCATGATCATTTAAACCACAGCCTTGGAGTGGGGGCACCTGAATGGCAGGACTCCAGGGCCTGGGTCACGGACTAACAGCTCTCATCCTAAAAGTCCATACCATTTGGTTTTACCCCATTATTAATTTTTATACTGGATTCACATGACAACAAATCAGTAAAATGGAAAAAACCCATCTAAGGGTAGGAATTATGAATAATCCTCAGGGAATACCAGTGGCATTGGCACACATTTCACAACTTTCTGACCATCGTCTCCTGTAAGTGCAAGGACAGGACACCTCCCGAGGAAGCAGAGGGGTGGCTGCTCCTGTGAGTCCTTCCAGAGACACAGATGCCCTGGGCTCCCCACAAGCCATGTCAACTGTGCCCAGGACCAACTCCTGGGCTGAACACACTGGTCAGATGACACTTGGCCTTCTGCCAGAGATGGGAGCAAGTGATGAGATGCTGGCCTTCTAGAGGGGGAAGACCCCAAATGCTGACGGCAGGGCCTGCAGAGGGTCGGATTTCTGAGGAGACCCAGGCCAGATGGGTGGGGTCAAACTGAGCACCCCAGTGCAGTCCACTGCATCCTGATTGGGAGGCGTCCCTTCTGGTGCTCTGCAGGACTCTGGCCCCTCTCCTATACCCTGGCCTGGATGCCCTGTGCTCTGCTCCTCTGCAGAGCACAGAGGGAATGGAGGGATGGACATCACCTCCCGCCCACCATCTATCAAAGTTACACGCCCTCAACAAAGGTTCCTCATCTCCCAGCTTCCCCTGGCCAATGCGAGGCAACCCCACTGGTACATGGGCCAGAGCACAGGCTCTGGGGCCACACAGCCTGGACTCACACCCACAGCTCAAGCAGCCATGGGCAAGTTCCTGACCCTCCCTATTCCTCAGGTTCTCATCTGTAAAACAGGAGCACCACTGCCACTGACCTCCTAGGGCTGTGTTAAGACAGACCTTGGCACAGAGTAAGCACTACAGAAATGCTGAGCCATGCTACATTCTTATTCTGTGCTCTTTCCCATTTGTGCTTGTCTTACACATTGCTTTATAACTGACAATCTCCCATTTCTACAGAATCCTGATGTCAATGCACAACAAAGAATGTTTAGCACCTCAAAATTTCTTAACCCCGATGCTGAAACATCTGAATAGTCACTAGATTCTACTAGTGGGTAACTATGTGCTAGGTGACATTAAGAGGTACAACAGGAACTCTGGGGGTCGGGATCTTTGTCATTCCAGACATAAACAAAGACCCAAGAGTCTAAGCTAACAGGGTTCCAGGGCAATGCTTCTATGTCTACTTAAGGAACAGCCTGAAAAGAACCCATCTAGAGGATGTGAATGATACGCCATCTGTGGAACCCCTGAGGATAGACAGGCTGTTGTGTTGTCAGGGACAGAGTGAGTACACTGGTATTAGAAGGGTGCACACAGGGCTTCTCGAGGTCTCCAATGTCCCCAGCTCCTCCAGGGTGGGGAATGTGCTAGAGACAAGGTGACTCCCACCAGGCATGGCTCCCCAGGACAGGCCCTTCCATGGCGTGACTCTCAGGGACAAGTCCAGGGTGGGAAGGAAGGTCTTTCTGAGGATGATTTTACCATCTGCTTTGTGAAATGAGGCAAGACCTGATATCTGTAAAATGGGGATGATGTTACTAAGCTATGTCCTAAGATAATTTTGAGAATTTTTAAAAGTCGGTAAATAACCCAATGATTGCTAGCAAATGTCATACTGCATGGACTTAGATGATAATCTGATGAGGTGTGAAAGAACAGTCCAGTCACATGCAGCTTCCTCCAGGACTCTGGCAAGAAGGCAGAAAGATGACTACTGCTGAAACCCAGCACAGGGAGAGGTCAGCACGGGACGGCTGTCACCTCCGAAACAGTTCACTGTTCTTAGCTCCAGTTTTTTTATTTGGTTAAGATGCAAAACAGCACTCTACATCTAGATGTCTCACTTCAGGCTTTTTGGTGTTGACATGACAGGCAAGAGCACAGAACAAGCAGGCCGTGTGAGGGGCCCTGCTGAGAGACACATGTCAGAGTGCAGCTGGGACTGCGTGTCGATGTGTCCATGTGTCCTCAGTCCCCCAGTGCCCAGTGAGGTGAGGGCACTGAGGTCCACGAGCGCAGGCCGCTTCTCCAAGGCTGTGCAGTGAGCTTGTGCACCCAGGAGGGGGCAGCACCTGGGACCAAAGTCCTCTACCTCTTCTCCACCAGACAGGAGGACTCCTGTTGCCAGGTGAATCAAGAGAAAGAGCAAAGCTGTCAGACCCAGGAAGTTCGATTACCAGCTTCCCTTTCTAGCAGGACCTTGGATGGTGTGGAAATTCTCTTCCATTTACTGAAATTTTATGCAGCATTCAGAGCCAGCCACAGAGTCCAGCCTAATCTCAGTGCACTATCTTCATCTGCTACCTCCTCCAAGATGCAAACGTGCTGTGCTCACCATGCTCAATAATGCCAGCTCAGGACTTAAGAAGCAGTAGGGCACCTCCTGTCTGTCAACACCATTCTACATAGCCTTGGGCATACAACATAACTACATTTTCAAAAAAGTTACACAAAACCATCAAGATCCATGTGAATTATTTTTTAGACTAGAAACTAAGGATTTTAACTCTCAAGCAAACTACTAAGCCATTTACTGAAAAAGTCTTCTTGTTACTGCTTGGCTGATGATCACAAAAATTATCCAGTTAGCTAAATGCACGAGTTTACAAAAGCACTTCTACTCTAAAGGGAGCTACCAGGCAGCATGGGCCAAAATCTAATGACACTGTTAGACAAGGCTGGAGCCTATGATTTTTGACCCCAAATTCCTCCTGCCCCTCATCAGAGCAGCTTCTGCCCAGTGCCTTTCTTCAGAAAGTTAACCCTGGGGGCAGGATCCATTCCATTCCCAGTGCACAGGTCCACCTGAGAATATGTGGTGTGTTTTGACCCAGCTGAACCTCAGGTGCCTCGAAATGAGTGTGACTGCCACTCTTACCTCCTCAGTCTCCCGTTCAACACTCCAGCTACTCACCTGCCCGGTCATATAAAATGTGGGATCGCTGGAGGCCTTCCTTCACGTCGTTCTCGGTGATCAGAACCCTGCTCGGGGAATACGTCTGTCCGCTCTTCTTACAGAACATCTTCCTGGAGCTTAGCCTGGCCAGCACTGCCAGCTGAAGTCCGTTCAAGCCAGTGCGGGCATCCCCGTCACTGAGGTAAGCCAGGGTGTCTACTGCTTTGTCCTCTATGAACACGGAGGGCCTGCAACAGAGCCAATGTTAGTCATTTCGCGTTCAGGCTGCAGCGCATCTCGGGGAGCTTAGGCTCCTCAGTGAAGTCACTGGAAAGCAACCTTAGTTCCAAGTGTTTGCCCCTTATTCTGACCTCTATTAGTAATGTAGCCAATTAAGCATCCTGGAGAATAAGAACAGATCTTGTAGGTCAGGGAGTATCACACCAGCTTAGGAGTGTGTAAAGAATGCTGATGTCCTGGAAAGTCACTGTTGACAAGTGTGCTCCCTGGTTCTAGGCTACAGAACAGCGAAAGCTCATTACAAACAGAGCACCTCTATAGCAACAGAAGATGTACTTTAAGGCTACATGTGTCCAGACAACACAGGAATGCTTAAGCCATCTTCCATGCAGGGGAGAGATGACACTGCACCAGAGTATTAGCTCTGAAAGGCTCCATGTCAAATAGTTCAGTCCTCTCCTTTTACAAATCATGAACGAGGGCCCCAGTGTTCCTGGACACAGCAGGACCTAGCACCAGGCCTCAAGATCTTGCCCTGTGCTCCATGGAGGGTACTGATCACGTGACGCTACGCAGCAGCAGAGATCACTATCCTAGAAGCAGATCAGAAGATGCCAGGGCTTGGTGTGGAGATCTTGGGTAAGTCACCTAACCTCTCTCCAAGGTCAGGATTAAAATTTAACATCCTACTTCTAAGTCTGGATCTTCACAAAGAAAGTCTAATTGTGACTATTTTTCAAGTCTGATTAAGCAAAATTTTCTCTTCCCAGGCTCGTCAGGCAAGCTAGGTAATACATTACTTAGAAGGGTCTTATGATTTCCTGGCTGCTGGGCGCACATTTGTGAAGCAAAAAATAATTTATGGTTCACCCATGTCATTATCATCTGGAAATATCTACACTAAAGTAAGTCTGCTAGGACGTTCACATCAGCTACACACAAGCACCAACCAGGCTGGCTGAGGGAAAGTTCTGAGGGGTCCAGCTTGTCTGCTGGGGTTAACCCAGAATTACTTATTGTATGTCTACCTGGGTTCCACCCGAGGCTGCCTGGGGACGACATGAATATAATATTTTGCTCACTGAAAGACTTGTTTCTTACATCTTAAAGGCTGCTTCATCTCCTTCTCCAATTTACCCAAGATGGCTAGGATTTCCAGTTATTCACCGTGGGCCTCACCCCATGTGGACACCTGGCTTCAATGACTTTCTAACAAACCACTGTCCTCAGACTCCTCATGACCGTGGGCCCCCAAGCTCTGGATACAGCCTGGAGACTTGTCCTCCTCCCTTCTGAGCACTACATCCTCTCAGCAGAGACTGTACCAGACTACTCAGCACACACCAGGGCCACCTAAACTGGCACCGCAGAAGGCCAACCAGCCACCTCTTGACCAGAACCTGAACTTTCTGGAAGATAACTTAAATGAAAATGATAGAAGATGTACTATAGATAATGTGAAAAGGAGAGGCCAGCAAGAGGGGACATGGAAGTCCACCACTCACAGAAAGGGCATGCTTACCTGTGTGCAGGTGGGGAGGCAGAGAGAACCAGAGCTGCCTCAGAAGTAATAAAAGCAATGCCTCCTGCCTCCCTGGAAAGCTGGAAGACCACCGAGGGGAGGAAGGGGTAAAGGCAGGAGACCCCTCAGTCCTAAATGGGGAACCACCTTCTACCCAGAACCACAAGGTGCGCTATTCACAATCACCGTCATCTCTCCATCCCCATGGGATATGAGCACCTGTGGCAAGAGTCTGGTTTGTTCTCTCTCCCTAATGCTGGTGCCTGGCAGGTAACAGGCACTTGGTATCTGCACAAAGAATGGACTACCTTCGCTTTCTCACCACCTCGGAGTGAAACATTACTTTTTAAAAATCCTAAGTATAGAAAGCAAAGCCCCTGTCTCCACCACCTAGAGATAACAGCTACCAGGTCATTTGTTGGATTTCCCTCATGATTCAACAAGCCACTTGGCCATTAAACTTGGACCTAAGTTTTTAAACAAATTCGAGATCAGACTGTGTAGTTTCACCTTACTCAGACCTTCAATATTACTTCTAAAATAAATGTATATTAAAATTTTAAAATACTCAAAAGGAGAAATGCTAATCACTTCTACCTTAAAATCAATATTTTGGTATATATATCCCTAGACTAATTCAAAATTAGCATTTTGGTATTATTTATCCTTTTCCCATGAATTTGTCATTTATTTTCCGAGATTTATAAACACTGTACTGTAAAAAAGGCTTTGGAAATCTTATGTATTTTAGGTAGTTATGAAACAGGGCCCTTCCTTGGGTTCTTAAACTTCTAACCAAAGTCTAAGGCTTTCTGTTGCACACAAAAGCCACCATGCTCTCGCTCAGTGTGATCTGCATCCCCTGGGAATGAGCCACATTCCAAGCTTCACACCCAGCACAGGGCAGAGTATTTTTAAAACCAAATGAAGCTGTCAGCAACTCTGTTCTAGTAATAAAACAGGACTGCTAGTGACACCATGGTCGCTGAGGATATTGTAAAATGGAAATTCATAGAACACTGTACAGGAAGCTCTACAGGTTCTACTTCCTACCCAGTATGTCCTAAATCAGCCTACTGAGTTTTGAAGATTCATAAGATGAACTAATATTCTGAGATCTTAGGAAGGGGAATAAATCAAAAACTCATGCCAAGGATAAAGGAAGGGATTTTTGTATTGATATTTACAAAACCCCTCAGCAAACAGTAACTATTATACAAAGATCTTTGAAAAAGTAGTGTTCTAGAGAATTTCACAATTTAAAATGTAAGTATAAACATATAAAATGTTTGTGTTACCTTCCAAAGGTAAAACAATTAAATGAGATGAAATTACCTTGGGGACAGATTGCTAAAAGTCTCATACTAACCTATCAGAGAAATAAGCAACAGGTAGTAAATTATGGAGCTATAATGCAATAAACTAATAGGAGGAAAAACTGTTTAAAACAAATGCTCTGGAGACCAGATTCTAGGTCAACAGGATCCAGATGAAGCAGACAGAGAGCCTAGCTCCTCTCCCTTAGGAGGAAGCGCTGACCCTAGAGGAGGAAATACAGGAAGTTCCCTCCTTTCCCTCTCTCTCCTGGGACCTTAAGTCTGTCTGCACAGTTCTGCCCCCCCAACCCTGGTAGATAATACTGCGATTTGGAGGAGAATCCTAATGAGGTGGCTAGATACTGAAGGTGGAGGAGTGAAAAATGTATGTACCTGTTGTTTCATGGCAGGACAAGAAAACATACAGTACATGGCTTGGTTAAACTCTCCATCACTAAATTACAAACCAGACTGCCCAGTCTTCCTCACTAAGGAAAAGGAACACTACACAGACAGGGTGACCACTGCTGACAGTGGGTCTCAACCAGGGGTATATATCAGGGCAGAGAACCTTCTTCCTCGGGTATAGATGTGGTTTAATTACAGTAAGTTTACTGCCTGCCAGAACTCCAGGGGTAGATGCTGGGCACAGTGCATGGGGTAGTGATGTGCAGGTCTGGTAAGAGGCCCTCCTGCTGCACTGCAGAGGGGATCTGCTGATACTGATCTTCATAAATTAGCTTCCTTACACAGAGACGTGCATGGAGAAAGGTAGAGAGCTTTTCAGCCACTTTCACATTGGCGCCTAGATCCTCCTAGCAACTGATGTCACTCAGCAGTTAACAATAGGCCTATACAACTGGTACTGCATGTTTAGGCTGGGTGATTGCGGGCACCTTACTTGACCTCGTGTCTCAGTTTCCTCATGTAATAAAAAGAAAGCAAAGCTGGACAGAGGATTAAATAAAGCACAAAGACTATTTGGGCAATGCTTGTCATAACACAAATACTCAAATAATAGGTAATGAGAGCTATTTGAATTAGTTGGTAGCAGACTCTAGAACTGCAAATCTTGGAAGAGCCCCAAGCCCTGTTTCCATGGTAACCAGTGAAAGTTAAAAACAAAACTCATTTTCTCCCCAAAGAAAGAACATGTATTTCATAGATGTCATTTTCTTGGTCAAATCTCACAGAACCAACCATGTCTTTCCAAGTTACACTACGCCATATACCTGGGACAGATAGTGAGTGGGTGGAACAGTGACCCCAAAAGATATGAGAGCTTTTTTGGCAATACGGTTTTTGGAGACATAACTAAGGATTTCCCAGTCAGAGCACCAAATGTCCTTTTAAAAGGCAGAAAGAGAAGACACAGAGCTCATGTGAAGATGGAGTGAGGCAGCCACCAGCTATGTAGTCCTGTGGCTGCTCATTCCTTGATTTTGGTCCTGAGTTCCAGTACTTTGTTACAATGTACTTTGTTACAGCAGTTACAGGAAACCAACATGGTCCATGAGAGCTATTTCTGGTGTTTTTATGGCATCATTTTAACACACCTTTTTTTCTTTATGCTCAGATTAGCTAACGTGTCTTAACTGTTTTCTTTATATTAATTCAGCTATCTTAACGTACTTTTGTTATTGTTGCTTTGACATGGGGTCTATGTCGCTCTGGGCTAGCCTTGATCTTGAAATCCTCCTGTCAGCCTCCTGGATGATGGGATTACAGGCTTTGCTGTACTGTATTTCTGTACCCTTTTACCTTGGAAGAAAAAATCACCAAAAACCTATTCTGTACCCACAATTCACTCTGATCAGGACCTTTAGTTCCCATGTTCTACTACCTTTGTATGTAGTGGTAGAAAATGTTATTTGAAGGCAGGCAAACAATGTAAACCTTTAAAAAAAAAGAAAAGATCTGTCTTTTGGGGCCATCTTGTCTGGGCCTTTGTTCTCCAGGTGATGAGAGAAAAACCCAAATCAAAGTGAAGCTTTGCACCCTTGGAAGGGATGGAAGCCATTCAGCTCTTCCGTCCAGCTCCTGGAACCTGGCAGCTACAAGGGCAGTAGGCGACCACGCTTCTTACACCACCTTCTTTTCTGGTCCACAACCAAATGCTTCTCTAGGGTGCTTCTGAATATGCATGTGTCTTGTGACCTGGGGATCTACAACTCTTCAGAGCAGCACGCAGTGCAGGGAAATTAAACCCTGCTTTACTTTCCCACTTTCAGCAGCACAAGCTCATCATACCTTAGACCATGGATTTTTTTCCTTCACTTCTAAAATTAACCCAGCACAGACAGCATGCTTTACTATTTGCATTATGTGACCAAAATGCTTTCAGAGAGCAAGACACTTGGCAGCCATTCATGAGCCATACAGACCGAGTAATCATGGCATAGATAAGCTTGCTGCTTATCCTTCAGAACTCAGCCTGGCTCCCCTCGTGTAGGTGGTGAAATGTTTGCTTTTCTAAATGCCTCTTCTCTCTGCCCACCCAGCCTGTCTGTATATAGTTCAACAAAGCACAGTACTACAAGACGATCTGATCAGGCTGTACTACCTCTAGTCACAGGATTGTGCTTTTCAACACCCAGTCAATGCCTAGCATATGCAGGACTTCAGTTTCTACTAAATAAACATGGGAGGCACATTTTTTAAAGAGGAAGACTCATGCTGGGGGTGTTGCTCCATGGTAGAGTGTACTTGTTTGCATGTACAAGACCCCGTCCAATCCCCAGAACCAAACCAAACACTTGTATCCAGCTGTAATGGGAACTATTTGAGTACACTGTGAGAACTTACAACTCCTCAAGTACAACTAGGAATGGCCTAAGTGGCCTCAAGTAAAGTTGAGATCAGTGCCCCTGCTCACCACCTGACACACACAGCCTTCCACAACCTAGGATTTCTCTGTGCATGTTCTAGCTGCCATCCAGGGAACCTAGACATGACGGGAAGACACAGAGGCACATTCACAGCTTCCCCAATAGAGAAAGTAACTGTTGGGGATGAGGGTCTTCGCTTCCAAATGGACTAGTGTAACCAGATCTGGTCATGTGCACAAGGACGATCTTGGGCACACAGCTGATGCCAGTCAATAGGGATCTGAAAGTAAAATTTCACCTACCATAACCGAAAGGCAACACAATCCACCCTAAGCATCCATGGCAAGTGGGGTGGCAGGTATTTTCTCCAGAAATTCATTTACAATGTAAGTTTTTCTGTGGTCTATGACATCTCTCACCTTATCTTCTTGCCAATTGCTAACAAGTAGACCAATTAATGGATTTAAGCCTAATATTCTTTCCTTTCACTCTGCTTGCTGCTAATGAAAAGGGCAACAGTATTAAAGAAAAAGACTCTTTTTCTGGGTAATTATCCCTTATGTTAGACTACACTAAAAGTAATAATAATAATAATAATTAAGCTACTTCTCTTGTATTGAAAGCTGGATATATTCATTCACTATTTACCAAGCACATAACATATGCTAGGCCTGACACTGGGGATAAAAATAAGGCAGGCAAGCTCAGAGCTCTCTGAGGAAGGTGGGAACATAAGAAAGCAAAGGAGAATGAAAGTCTAGGAGCAATTCCAAATGAGGGATGGTGGGAAAACTGTACAGACAGATGGAGGTTTTCTCTGATTCAGAATCACTGAATGCTTTTTGTATCTCTCAGTTTCAATAACTGAAGGAAGATGAAATCTTCCCTTTCACTGTATCCTCAGACTTGCGAGTGCTTGCTAATCACTCATTTAAAAACTTTAAAATGCAGAAATGCTTTTTATAAGGATGAGATCCATATTCTACTGACTTTCTCATTTCACAGCAGTGAGTAGGGAGGGGGAAATGCTGAAGGTATGTAACTCAATCCCATGAAATGATATGAGAAAAAACAAAAATTACCCTGGATAAATGAAAGGCACAATATAAAGTTATAGGTAGACTGTAAGAAGCAGTACTCAGAAAACAGAAAAATTTTTTCTTCTTTCAATTTGTCTTTACCACGTGCTGATACAAGTCTATGATGAAAACTTTATTAGAGTTAACCCTCAGTACCTATGGGTTCCAAATCCTCAAATTCAACCGTGGCTTGAGAACACTGTATTGTACTACAGACCCTTTCCTACTTGTCATTATCCCTTAAACACTATGGAATGACCACTACTGACATCTTGTTTACATCGCATTAGGTACTGTAAGTAATCTAGAGGTATGGACAAAGCTCAGTGGTCCAGCCTGACATGAGCAAGGTTTTGGGTTCCACCTATAACACTGCAAAATTTGAAAAAAATAAGTCTAAAGATAACGTAAAAGATGCATATAGGTTATAGTACATACTGCATCTTTATATCCAGGAGTTAAGCACTGTGGTACCTTTGAGGGGGTCCCCTACAGGTACTGAGGGATGGCCGTACTGGGTGCCGTGCCTTGGAGGAGCCCCCCAAACCCTTACTGGGTCTCCCAAGCACAGGCACACCTGACTGATACCAGCAGCTTCCAGACTTCATTTCCAGCACAGTTCTAATGGCCATCCCATCACAACTGTGCTCTATGATGAAGCAATCTCCTTCTGCCCAGGGGTCCACTGCCACATGTTCCAAGGCTTTCATGAGACATGGCAGCATTCTTCCTACATGTGGGATGGGAACAAATGGGAGAGGCCAGACAGAGAGACTGCTGAAACCTAAGCCCTGAGCCTACAACTATGCCTTCTACTTTAATCCCCGAAGAAAAGTGGCTCCAAAAGTTGGCCTCAGGGCAGGCGAGAGCAGCTGTGTTGTCCACAGCATGAGGAGGAGGGCAGTAGCCTCATCTCCAAACAGATTATGTTCTACTGCATATTTCAGCCAACACATGAACAAATGGCTTGGGAAGAATGTGTTCTAATATAAAAAAGGAAAACCTCTGACCCAGGAAATTAAGCTGACTATCCATGAAATACACACCTGTGCATCAGTGAACACGCATGGTGCTCATGCTATGGAAACTGGTCATCAAAAGGAAGGAGACAACCCGACATGCCATTTCAATAAATATTCCTTTACTTTCAGGGAACTGAGCTTGGTCTCTTGGGGGTGAAACAAAGTTTAAATAATGGTATGGTTACAGTTAAATTTTTCTTACTGCTTTAAAAGAATAATAAACTGCAGTGGAAAATGAAATATGAATCTATATAAATCTCCGTAAGTTGTTAAGCCTAGGAAGCACACACCTATTTGTTCCATCCAATGGGGGACACATAAACTTTTAAAATAATCAGTAAGATTTCCCACAGTCTCCTAAGCTTTAAAAACTGCGAGCTAGGAGAAGCACCCTGAACACAAAAGACAACAGCCAAGAACTAAAACTACAGAGACCATTAAAGCTTAATGAATTAGTTATACCTATTACCAGGTAAGAAAACCCCCATCTTACTAGAAAGGCAGTGTTTGCAAAGGTAACTGAGCACTTCCTTCCTGCTTCAGCATTTCAATCAGGGCAGATCAGCATTTCTCCTGGTCCTGCCCCTCTCTGGCTTGAGGCCCAGCACCTTCTGGTTCCCTGCCAGGAGGTTCTCAAGCCAGTGTGTGTGCCTGAACTCTGCACACTGTCCACTTACTCAGAGCTGCTGTTGCTGCTGTGGCTCAGAGGGTCAGAAGGACGGCTGGAGTCTAGGACATGGATTCCCAGGGAGTTGATCGCACGCATTAGAATAGTCACCATCGCCTCTACGGGAAGCTTCTCTAAAACAATCACTCGACAGCGGCTCAGAAGAGCTGCGTTGACCTGGAAGGAAGGGTTTTCAGTGGTCGCCCCAATCAGGGTGAGCGTCCCACACTCCACGTGAGGAAGGAAAGTGTCCTAATCATGGGAGGAAACAGAAGAAAGCGATTCCTGTCAACGGCCACCTGCAGCCCCATGTAAGTTGGTACCCATTCCTTCATCTTTCCTTATCTCTACCTTTGGAGTATATTCACCCAATGTGGACACAACATTTGGAAGAGCTCTAAGTGTAAAACACAGCTGCTAGAGTGCTAGTGTCTCAGCCAGACCTCTTGCTGGTAATAGCTCTGAGGAGAATTCTTAGTTTTAATATAAATGACTCCTTTACTTAGAAAAGTATCTTCTACCCAAAGCTGAACTGACACACAGCTTACACATAACAGCTTTACTTACAGAAGTGAAAGAAAATACAAAAATGTCAGTATTTCCAAAACCCTCTTCCACTGCAAATATTCAATCATGTTGTTATTCTTTCTACAAACCTGGTAAATCTAAAACCACCAGATGCTGTCTAATGCAGAAATATGAAAGTGAGTCAATGGTCCCAGGTGAAATCTACAATGCCAACATTAGGCAGAATGCTACCTGGTTTATTTCTGAAAGCTATTAAAATAAACAGTAATGTCTACATCATTGAATTGTTCACTTTCATGAGCATGAAGGCACAGAAAATAGACCCTAATTTTGAAAATATGGGAGAAATTTAAAAAGCTAAAATAATGATCTTAAAATCAAATTTAACTATTCACAATGACTGAATATTTTACATTAAAATTTTCTAAATCTTGGAAACTTAATCCAAACCTGTTCTTTTATATGGAACAATTAGAGCTATACCAAGCATTTCATTTATTACAGAGACCATTTTCCTGTCACAAACAAGAAACAAAACAAAACAAAAAAACCAGAAAGTGTTGGGGAGAGGTCTGGAAGGAGATAGGCTAAAAAAGCCCATGCTTCTTTGTATGGTAGTCAAAGCTGCTAACCCTAACAGTCCCTAGGACTTCTAATGCTTTATACTTTTCAAAGTGATCTCAGATACTTTATATTTTGATACATAAAGACCAAAAGACAGAAAAGGAAGTTAATATACCTGCTGGGATTTATTGAACCGATGAATCTCATCAATAAAAAGGATGGTTTTCCTTTTGAAAAAGCTCTTTTCATTCTGAGCTTGTTTTATGACATCTCGCACATCATTTGTCTTGGCATTTGTTGCAGACAATGTAACAAACCTTATGCTGTGTTTCTTGCTGTTGTTGGCTATGATGTGAGCCAAGGTAGTCTAAAAAAGAAAACACACAGGCACTTTCAAAAGCTGACCGGAAAGCTTCCCACTGGCAGGCTTGGTACAAGCAGCATCAGCAACCTGAATTCTGAAGGCGGCTTTGAGGTTGAGATATGAGCTGAAATGCTAGTGTCTTTTCAAATGTTAAAAGAGAAACACAGTCCAAACATATATATGAAGAAAAGAAGCTAACTCTTAGGCTGTGACCTTTTCTCTTCTATCCCTAACTCCTTTTGATTTCTTTCTTGGGGACTCTTTAAGATTTTTGGAATCCCAATGAAGAGTGGTTGTCTTGATTTAGCAGTCTAAGTGACAGCTGTGATCTCCCACCAAAGACAAAAGAAAATTCTCCTCCAGCTAACAAAGTCCTGCAGCTGAAGGACCTGGGTACGGAACTGAGCCTGGAACCACAGCCAGAATGGGCAGCTCAGCTAACAGCTAAGAAGAGGAGTGAATGACAACTATCTCTTGTTGGAGCTGACTGCCAAACACTCAAAATGTCCACTCTGGAAGGACAGGAGCAAGTTCACTTCATTGTTAGCACTTAGTGGAAAGCAAAGGACAAGTCCAAGGAAAGGACTGTTCATCCAGTGCCTACATTTAATGAGTGCTTGATGCTGTTAAATCATTATTAGCCTCACGGTAGTAAAAACAGGAATTAAGAAAAATGGAAGAGTGCTTACTGAGAGGCAAATCTGCTCCTAAATGACAAAGTGGCATTTTATTTTAAGTGCATAGCACCACTAGACACTATCACTGCTTCTTTATCCAGCCCCAGCATGCTTGCCTTTTGGGATCTGTCTCTCGCGTCATAAGGCTGGCAGCAGATCACCGCCACATCATGAGCAGCCTGGCCCAGTAAACCTCATGTGTTCGGTCCTCTAGGACCCCTCACTCCCTACAAACCTTGTCTTGCAGTCTGGGACATAAACAGCAGCTTACTGTTCTCCTGATTTTACATAAACACCTCACATTTCCCTAGAATGCTACTGCTCACCCCGCCAAATGGGGTAGCAACTAAGCATGCAGGGACAGACATCAACTCTTCCATGGTCATACACTGTTATCTGGGAACCGGGGAGAGCTCAGGGGTAGGGTGAGTGCCCTGGGTTCAATCCCCAACACGTGTGCAATATTTGGAACACATTTGACTTATGCCTGGCAGGAGATGAAAGCACTACAAACAAGAAAGCACGGAAAGCAAGAAGCATTCCAGGAACTGAGGAGAACTGTGGTTAAGTTGTGAGAGAGGGAGAGAGAAATTATGAACGCCTCTGTGTATGGGAATCTGAACCTCAAAGCTAGAGCTCTTTATACCCTGACCTCAAATTCTGTCACTCACAGGTGCTCTTTCTCCTCCCTTAACCTGCAAACAGAGGAACATCCTACTGCTAGTACCTCTTGGCCTTCTTTTTCAAGAGTACTTTTTCCTCATTTTTTTCTCAAGTGTTCTTCCAATGATACGCTCTCTAGACCCCCAGTACCCTAAGTGCCCCTGCACACCTGTGCCAGTCCCTGATACAGGTATTAGCATTGCTGCTGCTCTACCACACAAAATATGAGAAAAGTTATGAGAAAGCTTGATGAAACTGGCTTGCAGAAGGAAGAGTTTTCTTTTCTGAAATCAGTGTTAAACCAACTAGTGCGTAAGCAAGGAAGCACAACAGAAATAAGGATTTAATTACTCTCTCAGAGATGAACCTTTACACATACAAACGGAATATACCATCCACCTTGACAACTTATGAAGCACGTTTCCCTGAGCAGTGGGTCAGTAAAAATCAGGCCGAGGTGGGGCAGGGCACAGAGGGAGCACGAATGTGAGTCCGCACACATCTTCGGATAAAGCCTGCGAATCCAGACACCACCTTCAGAGGCTGCAGGTGTGTCTTAGGAACCCGGCGGGCGTGAGGGGTGACCTTCCCACGCCACACCGACTCCGCTCACGCGCGGAGGGGCGCTTCGGCTCGGTGACAGGCAGGCGGGGCCGCACTCACCTTGCCGCAGCCCGGCGGTCCCCACAGGATGAGCGAGGGGATCTCGTTGGTCTCCAGCAGCGAGCGCAGAAGCGTCTCCTGCCCCACGGCCCTGCTCTGCCCGATGT